AATGTCATATTAAATGGACTATCTTATAAAAATTGCCTGGCACATGATAGACCCCCAACCAATCATAGTTATTTTTGTTTTCCCAATACATGTGTGCCTTTTTTTCTTTAAATTTATGGTTCTTAGGCATATCTTTTGTAAACATCATATCATTGGCTTTGTAATTTGAGTCTACCTTTTTAAGAGAAAAATCTAAACTATTTTCATTTATTGTAAGATTGGTACCTTTGTCTTCATTTGATTTTGTTATTTTCTTTTTATCTTTTGCTGTTTCTTTGCCTTTTGCATTGATATGAATAGTTTTATTAATTCCATTAGTGGTTACCCTAAACATTCTTCAACTTTGTCTTATGTGATTATCAGAATAACACACGAAATAATGTAGTCCCTTAATGGACTATAAGTAACATCGTGCTTTTCCTTCCCCTACTTCATGTCTCCATATTTGGAGGTATAAATCAATTCGCTTGCTTCATTGTTTTGGATTATATTTTACAACTATATTTGCTCTATTAATTCACTTCTACATATTTAAATTGTTTTGATGTTAGTGTGAAAAAGCAGATTTTGACAGCTAAGAGCTGGCCTGGCACTCACAGCTTTGTCATGGTGTTCTCCTGTTGAACATTAACAATTCCCAAATCTCTACCATCAGACGAGATCACTCTGTGATCCTGATACAGTAATCATACCTGAGCACAGACAAAAGCAAAGTCACTGTGCAAACCATAAAAATGACTAAACATCAAGAGTTTGGATCCCCCTTACCCTCCAACAGCGGGGAAGAAAAAAAAAAAGACTAAACAACCCCCTCTTGTGGCTATCATGAGTGACTGCTGCTTTTTTCCATTCCTCTCACCCACTAGATAAAAATTAAGATACCCAACTGCAAGATTACCTCATTTTCTGATAGCACCCAATCTAGAAAAAACCCTAGCTCACTTGAACCCTCCTCCAAATTACTTACACATGCTCAAATTCTATAACAAGCTCCTCTTCACACTTTCTCACTGAGAAGCGCCTACAGTCCCTGATGGTACACAGTCTCTCTTGCTGCAGCAAGCACCAATAATTTTGACTACAGCTGTGTCCTGGTGGTCTTGGACTGATGACATCAACAAATTCTTGCTGCATAATTTTCTACCATCATCTCCCCAGTCTTAAAGTTCTGAATACTCTATGATCTGAGCATTTTTAAATCCTGCCTGCTCATACCCTTTACCCCTCTCCTAGAACACCTTCTGAGACTTTCTTACCTTCACCTATAAGCAATGCCATAGCTGAGTATTGAATTTTGGGGTTACAACAACTCTGTCTTACAGTTTTATGCATTTTGCTCCTGTGTATCTTTATTTTTTGGAATTCAGCGCTACAGAAAAGTCTGAGGCTATGCTTTGTTCCTTTGAAGACGACTTTTTTGGGAGTTTCGTTTCCCAGATTTGTTTAAATCTTATCAATTTAAAAGTTATAACAGAAAATGCATTTGTAATCCCTTTGTGACTTTCACATAAAATATGGTGTGCTATCTTGGAGTCTTCCTGTTCATTTTCATCCATCTGCATTCTAGAAGTTATTTCCAAGGTCAACTTCCACATCACCACTTTCTGCAATTATCATCTCTTGTTCATAGCTTTCAGTGAGTACAAGGGTACTCCAAAACGCTCCTGGAAAAACTAGAGAAGATAATAAGAATCTTTCCATGAACTTTTTGAAGTACCCTCGTATTTGGTTTTAGCTATTATGATTTATGTTCCCATGTCGTCTAACTACCCAATTCTTTTCTCAACACAGAAACATTCTGTTACATCTTAGACACAATGCAGCAGGTATTCAAAGAAAACTTGTTTCCTGCAGTAAATCCAAAGGAAAAGTTTTGCCTCCATGTGCTCAAACACTACTTTACTGTTCATGTATGGAAAATTTTCCATAGGCCTGTTACTATATTTCTTATTCACCTTTAAATAAAAAGAAATACATTCAAGCCAAGTATCGAAAAACAAGATGTATAAATTAGCTGCAACCACCTCACCGTCCACTTGAGTGCTAGTAGAATCCCTGGCAGCCAGTTGATTGCTGGTTCCCTTCCTGAACTGCAAGCACAGTTAAATTCCCCAGGCTCAAGAGGGTCACCCCAGTTCAGGAAAGACTCCAAATTGGGGCTGTGCTCACCAGACAAGACGACATCCAAAAGCAGTCTACAGTTACTGCTGAGTTCCTCCTCTTGCCTCTAGGCCCATCCCTCACATAAGTTTGGGGTTTTGCTGACTAGTGCCAGATTTGGTCCCACTGCTATGTTCTCACTGGTGTGGCTCTTCCTATTGGTAGTGGATGGGTTCTAAAGTATGTTTTTTTACTGTTAGTGGGATTTAAAATGTTGCCAGTTTGGAAGCCAGGCCAAAAGCTGCCCTATTTGAAGATTTTGCCAGTGCAAAACCTGCCCCTCTCTCTCACCCTACCATGTTTCTGAACTGGCAGAGGAGGGATTATTATTTACAAGTTTAATTACTTTGACTCTGGAGAATCTTTTATGTACGTAAAATTTTACATCAGCAGTAACGGTGCTTCCTCCTCACCTCATGCCTTCCGCATTGTCTTTAGGCACTTTCCTCCTGGATGCTTTCATGCTGGTAATTCTCCTTGCAGTTTTATGGTACAGAGAACCCCTTGGCTGGACTGTCAGCCCTGTGAAGACCTGAGCCCCAGTGTTTTCTCCTGTGCCTGGACTGTGGCAGGCTCATAAGTAGGTGAGGAAGGAATGAATGTTTTTCTACTCATATATTTTTGTGGATATTTTAGAGGGAAATTGGAAGATGATGACCCAGTAGTTTTTATTGGGACCTCATCTTGATTTTCTTTATGATGTATAGTCTTGCCTAATTTCTATATATCAAGATCTGTAATTTTGTTATTTTTAACATCAAAGAACTAATATTTTTATTGAAAAATCATTGCATTATAAAATGAAAAAATCTTGACTAATGCTCACAACTACGTACAAAAATAAAAGTGCACTGGAGAGACATAAAAGAAATACATCGAAACAGAAGCATGAGTTATGTCTGAGTGACAGAACTATGCAAGGATTATGTTCTTCCCTATATGATGGAACTCCAAAAACTTCATGGAAAAATAGAATTATAATATGAACTTTTCCATGAACTTTTGGAGGTATTTTCTGTATTTTCCAAATTTTCTGAAGTGAATATGATTGCATTTTAACAATGGTTAAAATTATTATTGATTTGAATATTCATGGGAGAAAAAAAGACTTTGTCTAAAAATTGTTTTCTAAAACATCTCTCATGATACAGAGTGGCTCAAATATTGTCATATATGAATGTGTGAAAAAACACTCTTTTAAGTCAATACACAATTTGGTAATGTTTTCAAGTCAAGCTACCCTAGAGGCAATTCATCTGTGGAACCTCACAGAGTCAAGGTCAGAGGACAAAGCCATTGGTATGAAGAAACAATGAAAATAAAAATAAAAAGACAAGCCATACCTGAAGCATAATGACACAAAAACAGACGTATTATTAGGTATGGATAGAAGTGAAGAAACTGGACCACAACCAAGCATGGGCATGTTTGCTGTACCTTTTTGTCACTTAATTAACCCCGCCCTTCCACTGCCAACATTCTTCTCGCACAAGAGAGTCCTCTTAATAACATTACCACTCCCTTTGACAACAATCAACTTCTAACATAATGCAAATAAAGAGATTGCACTTTATGGCAAGTTAAGTAGGAAGAAACAAACTCATTCATTTCTACTAGTACTATTTCTTCATGCTAAATTCTTATTTCTATCATGACCTATGTAATGTACAGAGCGCCATGTTTCTTGTTTTTGCTCCCCCACCCCAATCCATTTCCCCTTAACAGCACCATGAATTTGCAAACCTCCCACAACCCTTAGCTATGTGCTTTGGATGATATTCACCTTATACCCAACTACAATGATGTCCCAGGGAAAGAAAGAAAACTTAATCATAGTCAATGATGAGATGTTTCTAGAGATTCTGGAAAAGACATGCTCTATTAGCCTGTCCTTGCCCTGGATAGAGGGTCTGAGGACGTAAGTGTGGAATCGCTATATCCTTTCAAGAACCTGGCATTGCAGGGGAGTTCTGTATGGAGTTTAAGGGCAAAAACCAACACCAGAGAGGGCAGAGTGGAGATGAATTCTTGTTGATATTGTGTGAACTGCTCAGTCTAGACTGATTCAAAGATAGGGCACCCTCTAATTGTTTCAGTTTTGTCAGCCAAAAAAATGTTCTTTGTTGCTTAAGTCACTTTAGTTAGGTTTCTGTCACACGTATCTGTGAAATTCCTGATTAATATAATATATAAATAAAACTTTTTTACCTCGGGAAGTCTACTCTGAAGTGACACACAAATACTTTTTACAGTAAAGAAACATGTTGTATGTGTGTATTCACTCAGTGATCACTCAGCAAGCAGCACATTCATTATCTGTGTACTTCATCATAGAGATGTTATTCTTCATTTAAGAAGAAGAAATGCTGTTGCATATGGTAAGCCATCAATAACACTGTTGTCTAACTTAAAAAAAAGTTTACCATAAACAGTACATTACATCAGAGTACTTATCTCAGGCTCAGCTGAGGACAAAAAACTACTCTTAAACTCCTTGTACCCAGGAGGCAGCTCAACAAATACTTGCTAAGTAAGTAAACCTTGGGGTCTGTTGTTGAAACTTTAAAGAAAAACATGACTGTTATTCACGGGGGACTTACATTCTACAAGCTATACAAGATAAAGATATAGTAGTCATATATGTAATTCTAAAAGTGAGAATGCTACAAGTTATGGTTAGAAGTAGATGAGAATAACTTTGATCTGCTGTTAGGATAAAAAACAAGAATTCATGTGAAAAAGCCACAAAACTCTTAGGTGAAAAAAATCCCATAAAACACCCAAGTCATATTCAGTGATAATGATTGAGAATCTCATAAATATCTAAGGAACAAAACACATTTTGCATTATGCTCAAACTCAGGCATTTTATTAGCTGGCTTTACAACTTAAATAATATCTTGGTTACCAAAGGAACAGCTTCCACTAATTCCAAATTAAGCTTTCAAAAATTTTCTTGTTCGGAGGGACATTCTTACATTCAACACAAATACCTTTTTTACAACCTTCAGCAAATCTTTTCTTAGAGTTAACTAAAGGAAGTTCCCAAGTCAAATATCAACTACATCCAAAACCCAATTTACGTACTTTTCCTTAAAACATGTGCAGTATAGTTGAATCAAAAGAGAAAACTACAAATATTTCATGGTTTGGCTGGAAATAGAGTTAATTTCATGATGATTCATATCTTCTATTTCTGATACTTTCCATAAATCTCAGCAAAGAAAATCCACTTTTTAACATTTCAAATGGAAAGCTGGTTTTTTAAATGAAAGTGCAATATTAGCCTTTCTTTGCCGGTTGGAAACTTGAAATTTTTGCAGGAGTGATTATTAATACTTCTTTGCAGCTAATTATAGCTTTCATATTCTCTCTCATTTAAAAAAATATCAATTGCACATTGTTCCTTTAACTGAATAACTGGATTCTTTAAAACCAAGGTAGCTATTTCATTGCATTTGAAAACATGGTAGAAATTCTGACCCATCATTCTTTTATCTGTAAAGAAAAAAGAAGATATTTGCTATAATTTAATCAACTGCATTATAAAAACAACAATAACAAAACAGGGAAAATGACAGTGAAATAATTATTATATCAAGAAGAAACTTTTTCCTGCAACTTTCTCCCTTCCCTAGTCATTCTAAGATTTACTATAGTATCTCCATTATTTTCCCCAAGAAAACTTTATCCTATCTTCAGAATGATCTTTATAAAGAATGCCTTGACAGATTAAATGTGATGTTGATGACAATGATATTAGGTAACATTTACTGAATGCTTTATTTATTGAATGCAATTACCGTGCCAAATGGTTTATATAGATCATTTCATTTCACAACTCTAGAAGGCAGATTCTATTACCCTGTTTTTATAGATGAATAAATTGAAGGAGAAATGTACTTGTGCTACTAGAAGTCGATGGAGCAAGAACACAAATGGGCAGTTTAATTCCAGAGGTGGTTCTCTTCACATCGGCCTCACACTGTCTTCCACATGTACTTTGTATAAATGATGTACACCACATTTCTTGGTGCTTTAAAGATTTTACATGATACATGTGTAATTGAATTATGATGCAACTTAAAGCTCTGTGTTCAAAGTACAGTATATATCCAATTAAATTAGTTTTATGCAGAAAACAATCATATGAAGTAATGAAGTCACCTTTAAAATATAATATTCATATTAATTATGATTATGTGCAAGAAAATTTTAATTACTGAAATTTTCTGGTTCATTCCTGTATATTTTCTCCAAAACTCAACTGTACCTTTCACAAACATAACTAAAATGTTAATTAAACTTTTTGAGTGAATCATCTCAAATGGACTGAAAGCAAGTTATTTAAAGAAAAAAATTGAATGAGGGTTCTTTTATTAAACAAAATCACTGGTCCCAGCTCATCTGACGCTACGTCTGTATTCTCATAATTTAGATTGCATACTTACAGTCCTATTTTTCAACAGACTTCCTTTAATTTTGAGCCATATCACTGGTGGAGAATATACTTTGGAATTCTCACTATGATAAGGTCTAATACCAAACATTTTCTCCCTGTCATTCTTTTAAATTTTTTTTTTTTTTTTTTTTTTTTTTTTTTTTTCCGG